AAAAAGGTTGTGCATATATTATTTGATGACTTTTCAATCAAAACAAAACGATTCTTGTTGTACCAAATGATGGAAGAAATGCAGCTGAAGGTGGCATAGACTGTTGCAAAACGACTTGTGTGTTTTGTAACTGTGTCTCAGTGATGGGCAAACAAGTCAAAGTGATAAAGCATGAGATAGTCTATATTTGCTACCCCTCGCCGGCTATCGGTTTCAGAAATCTTTTTCGATAAGCTATATTCTTTCTGTAGGTACGATCAATCCGCCATCAATCTGCTCTTGGCTAACGCATATGGGTACAACGCTACAAATTATATAAGCAATATTGGAGATGGAGCAACGATTCAGCGTACTGCTGCAAAAGGCTTGACCGAATCGGATTTTTCATGCATGGAACGAACAGAACAAAAGAAGTCTGCCACAGCTGGTACCAGAGCAAACTGATATCGCTTTGGGAATCTCAAAGGTATGTATCGTTCTCACGGAGTTCGGAGCAAAGCCTCAGAAAAAGGGAAATATACCTACGTTGGAAAATGCCCATATTTAACGTCTGAAAAGTTAAGACGCGGCAATAGCTTACATGCTTCAACACATTCCCACATCGGTGTGCACTTGCGTGTGAAGGACCTCGAATTATGGCTAAATAGTTTGAAAACACACAAGTGAGGGCCGGACCAACTTCTTCCGAATAAGCCGGTACCGCCAGGCGTACCCGCTAAACTTGAACACCCTTCTCTGCTTTGTTCACATGATTCTTCCTTATTATTTCATTGATTGTAATTGCAAATGAAAATTTCTATACTAGTAACGATCTCATTCCAATTTCCTTGCACTCTTTAGTTATTAGAAATCATTGGTTGCGCATCATAATCGATCACAGAACGCGCAAAAAATCTACGCTTGGATTTAGGCGCTCGGTATCCATTAAGTTTGCTTCTCTTTTTTGATTCTCCCTCAGCTGAAAGTGGCTTCAAAGACTCATTTGCTTTGCTATATGTTCCAATACTTTCTGCTCATTTCCCATTGTTATCATATTTGTTTTGAAGGTTACCAAAAATAAAGTTTTCCTTGTTGTGCTGTTAGTTGGTCCTGTCATCCATTCGCAGGTGAATGGAGGGGAGAAGAGGGAGGGATTGGGGAAAGAGGGAAGAGAAGTTGAAGCGAAGGAGATGTGAGGGGAGGGCGATTAACAAAGTTGTTTCAGGTGCTAATCATGAAAAAGGCGTTCAGTACATGCACATTGGGGTTGTGGAAAATTTGATTCCCTGTGATAAATGTTAAAGAGGAAAATTTTCGCCTAGCATTTATTTCGTAATTGAGTAAAATCCTAAATCCAAAAAAACAACAAGTAAAGTTAGCAAGATGGCTCTATGAGGTCAGCGATCTTGTGAAATTTTTTTACATCCTGAAGGGACATTCAAGAAAGTCCCTGCTCAGCTCAAGCCCGTCCTAGGAAGAAGATTTACAATGCTTTAGTAAGCCTTAGACCTGGAAGAATTCACCTTATTCTCGTAACTTTGCTTCGCTTATCATAAACTCAATCAGTGTTTATATACGGGTGCTATAGCCGATAACCAAGATTGTTAATACGCTTTATTCAGTCACAGGCCAACGTTTCGGTGCCTTCACCTTCGTCAGGGCCTCGCAATCTTCGAATCAGGGTTGAGTAACCACCAAACACAGCATCTGCATAGTTAGTGTTTAGTGTTTCACAGTTTTAAACAATCTAACTGTGCAGATGCTGTGTTTGGTGGTCACTCAACCCTGATTCGAAAATTGCCGAGGCTCTGACGAAGGTGAAGGCACCGAAACGTTGGCCTGTGACTGAATAAAGCGTATCAACAATCTTGGTCATGGATATAGAATACGTACACGAATAACTACCTCATGCCAAGATTCATCGATAATCGGGCTTGGGTTTTGACCAGTGTTGTCATGGTTTTTGTGCAGCCAGGTAAATTAAAGTCAGTATTTACCGGTAATCACATATAAACCATTTTTTCATCGAAAATGTCTGCTTACAATATGTTCACTGTACTGCAACAGCGGCAGTAGGTTTTGATTTCTTTTTTTTCGATTGTCGCTGCAAAATGTATGGCCCAGATTTCAGTTGGTGACTGAGAACTTTTCAGGGATATTTACAGAGCCCAACTAGGACGAAGCTCTTGGAGCTGAGAAAATTTTTATGACATAGAAACTTACGTGAGTAAAAACATTGTGCAATTCAGCAGCAAGGATGTCTTCAGGTAATATCTTTTGACACGGTAGTTTTCCCTTACCTCTGCCTACATACTCAGTTGAGTTCTATACAAAAAATTCTTGATTTGTGTTGACATTTGATAATGTGTTGTCCTATCGTGATTGTCTTCTAATTAAAAACATGAAACCGAATCAAAGAAGGAGATTAAACAGCTTTTGTCTACAGAGTCTCAAAAGCAAGTAAACGCTTTTCAATCGTTAAAATCTCTCTTCCCATTGTGTCTTATTCACCACTAGCTTGCTTACCAGGCTCCGCCCGGCCCTGTGAAAACACTGTAATAAAGGTCGCATCCCTATCCCTGTACAGCCTTTCCCTGTGCCCTTTCTACACTTAATTTCCCGTTCCCTGTATTGTTTTCGAAATCAGCATGCCCACTTACCCCTCCTGTGCCAACTCCCAGCCCTGTAGCTCAAACTTTGCAAAAAATCGATAAAATCGATAAAAGCAATGGACGATTTCAAAAACTAAAATTATTAGGAACCAGCATGCTCGATTACCCCCCTGTGCAAACTCCCAGCCCCGTAGCTCAAACTTTGCAAAAAAATCGATAAAATCGATAAAAGTAATCGATAATCCTGAAAACTAATATTGTTTTCGAAATCAGCATGCCCACTTACCCCTCCTGTGCCAACTCTCAGCCCCGTAGCTCAAACTTTGCAAAAAAATCGATAAAATCGATAAAAGCAATCGATAATCCTGAAAACTAATATTGTTTTCGGAATCCCCATGCTCGATTACCCCTAGTGCAAACTCCCAGCCCCGTAGCTCAAACTTTGCAAAAAAACCGATAAAATCGATAAAAGCAATCGATAATCCTGAAAACTAATATTGTATTCGGAATCCCCATGCTCGATTACCCCTCTGTGCAAACTCCCAGCCCCGTAGCTCAAACTTTGCAAAAAAAAATCGATAAAATCGATAAAATCGATATCGATCGATGACGAAAAGTAGGGGTGTATGTCAAGAGGCGCGATTTTTATTGCCAGCTGGACACCAAATAACACATAATAAGTGTTTTGCAACTTTCTAAAAGTTTATGAAATTTAGAAGAAGATATATTAAGTAGTTGCATGAGCTGCTCAATCTTGATCTCTAATAGAAATTCAAAACAGCAATTTTGAAGGTCAAAAACTCATGAAAATGCATTTCAGAACAAATTCGTAAATATTTCAGTCCGATTCAGAGCAAAAACCATGAAACTCAGGAAGTGGTGACTTCAAACAGATAGTAAGCTAATGCAGTTTATCTGGTAATTTTTGAAGACTCGCATAGCACTAAACTAGAGTTTTAAGTTGGTGACAGCCAAAGAAATCGCGCCTCTTGACCGTCTCCCCGAAAAGTAGCCTATGACACCCGCCGGGGCCCGAAGTGTATGTGTGCCAAGTTTGGTCCGGATCGGTTCAGAAATGGAATTTTCTATTCGGAACATACGTACAGACAGACAGACATACATACAGACAGACATACATACAGACAGACAAACAGACATTCAGCTTTATATATAAGATTGTGTCTTTTTCATTTTTCAAGTACCATTCTTTAGAGGAAGCTTCAACTTAGGCCCGTATGCACGTACATCCCCGCGGGGAGGGAAGGGGATCTGAGAGGGGAAGCGTCATAACTCGCTAGTCTATGTATCTTTCTTCTTCTTTCTCTGTCTTGGTTTTGAAGGTGCTCATGCACTGATACTTGCGCATAACGGATGCCAGGTTACTGCCATACAAGATTAGATATTCACTATTTCGTCTGATCCCCTGGGGATCCCCAGGGGATCACTTCACATTTTCAAAGCTATTTATCTTCCTGAAAGCTCGATAAAAATGCTCTAAAATTGTGCTATGGATATACTACAGCACTGCTAAACATGTCTATGGCAGAAATGAGTGAAATCTCAAAATCTCAAAATCTTCGATGAACCGCTGCTCGCGAGCCAGGGATTATCGAAAAAATCAAAATCTTCGGATTCCATTTCTTCTGTCGAAAACATGCTCAGCAGTATCGTAGTATATCTTCAGTACAATTTTGCAGCGTTTTCATTGATTTTTAAGGAAGATAAATGACTTTGAAAATGTGAGATGATTCCCTGGGGATCCCCAGGGGATTGGAAGAAATAATGAATATTTAATCTTGTATAGCAGTAACTTGGCATCCATTATGCGCAGGAATAAGGGTATGAGAACCTTTATAAGCACGATAGAGAAGAAGGAAGAAAGATATCTAAAGCAGCGAGATATGGCGCTTCCCCTCTTAAATCCCCTCCCCTCCCCGCGGGGATGTACGTGCATACGGGCCTTAGACTTGTAGTATCAAGCGAATCACTTATCGCTCTTCATTACTGTAGGATTACTGTAGGAACTTCGACAAGGCTTTTAGGTCATTGGAAGCCACATTCTGCCTCGGAACAAAACCAAGCAAAACAAAAACTCTCATACTGTGGTAATTCTTATGGTAATTCTGGGTGTTTATACCTCGCGTGACTCCAGGAATCGGCGGGAGTTGCTAAAAGCTAAAAGCAATGCCTTCCTTTTCCCTGTTCATTTTTGATCTTCAGAAAAAAAGCATCAACAGAAAAAATTTTTGTCAGAAAAACTCCCCCCCCCCCCTCCCCGGATGGAAATCGCGGATACGCCACTGCTGAAAACCTAGAAGTCGTAGAACTAGTGAGCTTACCCAAAGATAGTAACATATGAGAGACTAAAAACTTTGAAGAAGTTTGCAGTTTTTTCACAAGATATTTGTCAATTTTTATGCATCAAACAAATAATCACAATTCGTACAGCTTCCCACCTTTATAATCTCACATTTCCTTATGGCAGGAAGTCAAATCTAGACGTCATAGGTAAAAAATATAAGTGCCAAACTTGTGATCACAGAAAAGGGGGTAGAAGAGGACACTTCAAGAAAAGTCCATCGTTCATCAAGAAAGCATTGAGCATTGGGTGATAAGGCGCGCAGATGTCAAAGCATCATGAGAATAGAATGTTGAAGCAAGAATAATCTGCCACTTCAGCAATTACTTACATAATAATGGAAATTTGCTAGAATTCTATAGCAAATACTTATTTTGAGTTAGAAAGCAGTGAATATCGGGTCACAGTAATATCTGCAGCATATAATAGCACATAATACTGCAGGCACATATTGCCCGTAAGCACTCAGAACCGTTTTTACATGGGTTAGTAAACTAGCAGTTAAATCAAAAAGCAGGGCACAAGGTACTCTAGGCTTCTCCGGGCCGTGCTATGCTGATTTCTCGGATTGTCGCCTCTGCCATCGCTCCCAGTAGCACTTCAGGTGAGCTGACAAAGGCAATGTTCTTGTTGTCGTGTGCGCCGCACATATCACGGACCTAAAAATTTATTGTTCAGAATGACAGATTAATGAACTTATGAGTAGCACAAATGAATCAGAATTTCCCCAGAAGGTTTGAGGAAGTTCTGCCGGGTCACCTGCGAAAGTTCTGTGAAAGTGCTGCGGAAGTTCGAAAAGCGCGAACCACAACAGCAAAAGAGAACACTGAACGAGATTCCCTTGCTCTATGACTGCGAGACTCACTTACTATCCTCTGCACTATGAACGACATGCAACAATGCACTCTACTTATCGGCGAGGCAACATCGTAAAAGACAACACATTCAAAAACCCGCGGAAGTACTCGCATGTCAAAGTGTTGCCGGAGCGCCGGCATTTTTCGGATTTTTGGCAGCGCTTTGTAAGAAGTCCTGCAGGAGTCCCCGTTTTCACTCAGTCTGGCGTGAAAGTCCTGCGGAAGTTCCCATATTCAACGTTTCCCCTTGAGCAATTATAAACAAAATTCTGCGGAACCGCTGCAAATTTTGCATGTCCTGCAGAAGTTCCGGTGAATTTTCTGAGAAAGAGTTTTCAACAACATTCCATTTTGAGCAGACGTAAGCTGATATATTAGGCTGGAAACTAAGTTTTGCAACTAGTTTCATAACTTCATTTTCTTTGCATATGGCGCACTCAAACTTTGGCATCATGTAGAATGCAATGTGAGCTACAAGTGAGCACAAATTGTCTGAATATTGAACACGAAATAGAAAACTTTCAGGCATTTTTCGAAAACTAGTGAAATTTGAGAATATTTGGGGTTTCTAGCTAAAATGAGGCCTTTGGCAGCCTAGAACATGCGCAGTAATCCGGATTCGTCTACAAATTATTGCTAAAGGTTGACTCCTTTGGCCTATTAAGAAAGAAACAAAATTTAGGGGCATGTCGAGATTTGGCGTCCTCATAAAATCGAACGAGTCGATGTACGCAAGAGCTGCTGGGGACGACCGTCAATGACTAAAGAGTCCGTAGCTCAAATTCCGCCGAGACTTTACATAGTAAGGTTATTTGACCTGCCAAACGCGAATATCACATTCATTTGTTGAATCAACGCCTTTTCCTTGTTTAGGGTGAGGCCCCATATCGTATACACCTACAGTAATCCTACAAAAAAGCCCTTATCACGCAATTTCACTATCGTTTTCGTGATAAGCATGTCGGATAACACCCCTATGCCAAGTTTCAGCCAAATAGGTCAAACTTCGAATTCTTCCCCTTCATACCATGCACCTACCGTAACCCTCACTGAGACGTCAGAATTTGGTAGGACAGCAGCTGCGCTTGTAGCTTACGTAATAACCAACGCAGTGGCAGAATTTGAGTGCGCCATGTTGAGTGAGCGGGAAGTTATGAAACAAGTTGCAAAACTTAGTTTCCAACCTAATAATTGAATCTGGATAATACAATGCTTGGGGACTGATAGAACTTGCGCGGGAAAAAATCTTGCGTACGTGAATGCTGGCAACCTGTTTGCGATTACGCGCAAAAAATGACGAAAGAGGGCAGAACTTTATACTTTACGCGCATGTGTTGTCGGCGATGTAGAAACACTTATTGTCAAATCTACTGAATTTACTAGGCTGTCGTTTGATATACACGGTAGTTTTTTGCTATCAACTACCTATCGCGCCGAACATCATGCAAGGAAAGGTAAAGTTGTAAAATATATGAAACAAACTTGTTTTTGTAGATTTGGATCTGATGTAACCCAGATAGTATAGACGCCAGATGGATTTTGTTGTAAGCACTCTTGTAACATTGGTAAATCCGTCGCAGAATCGCCGCAGACCAGAATATTTCCTTCCTAGAAAAAAATTCTTGTAACGTACAGAAAGTGTAATAAAGCTCAAGCGTATCTTACCTTGAGGTCACATTTCATCTTCTCACACAACATTCTTATTCCATGCCCTTTGTTGAAATGCTGTCCGGCACCTTTATCCTATAAAAATTTAAAAATTAAGTATGGAGCTTTTATGAAAATACATGAAAAGGCATTGAGCGTAAACAGATTGAGCTGAATCTTTGCACATATAGTATTTCAGGCAGCGGAGAATGGTGCAGGTTATTTTTTGCGAAAATCCACTTCTTCCATCGATTAATTGATCTGTGGCTCTTTGCAATGCAAACACATTCTTACCAACCGCAACCAACTCAATTTGGAAAACAATGGCAATAGAGCTCATTTCCTCTCGTAGTAAAGGTATGTTGCATAACATACGCGTTACTTAACGAACTTGCAATTACAGCCAGGGTCGACCGTGGGGTGTGGCATGCCACATCTAGGGGAAGGGGGTCGTAATGAGGAATCAGGGAGGGGGGGGGGGGGTCGTTATCAAGGCGTCCGCTGTTCGCATAACATGATATTCGTTAACAATGTCAAATAGGCCCGTCATGCAAAATACTAGCACACTGATGTTTTACCCATTATCGTATACGTAAAGTAAGCATAATTAAAGATCTATGAAGCATAAGATCATCGTTTTGTAATTAGCAAGTAAAATACCCCTGTTGTCCAAGTTTTAGCGAGTTCTGAGGTTTCCAAATAGATCACCTAAGTGAGATGGTCGTTTTCAAACATGTTAGTTTGTTCCAAAGGCAAGTTAACTATTTTTCTTTGCTCACATTAGGAATCCTACTTCAAATGACCTCCAAATTAAGGAATTAAGAGCAAGCCAAAATCTCGTTTGTTTCTTTTTCCGTTTTCAATATCTCAGGCAATGTAGATTACGAGGCTTATGCTCTAATACATACCTTCTTGTCGTCTTCCCTTGCGATTCACGTAGTAGCGTAGACTTAGCATGTTACCATATCCCGATATTTTCGCAGTATTTTATCATTTACATTTGCATAGGTAAGGAAAAACGATTATATCTTGCTCTTGAAGAAACGTTTTCGTATGAAATTTCAGCTATGTAAAGAAGAAGGTTAAGCAGTAGCAACGATATGAAAACGCAGCTATTTGATCTGTTTGAAGGTAAGTCAATGGGGTGTGGCACCACCTCTAAAAAGCTGTGGCAGCCACAGCTTTTTAGGGGTGGCGCCACATCCCATTAACTATATAAAAAAACATTTTTAGCGATCGCTATTTACATGAATCGATAGCCTAGACCTCGTAGACTTCATAGGAGTGATTTGAGCCTAATCCGTCTTCTTAGCCCTGAGTAATATTTGGTGAAAGCACAGCCACTAAAAGTGAAAAATAGGAAAAGCAAGATTTTAGTTGGCTTCTAATTCCAAATTTAGGGGGTCGTTTGAAGCGAGATTTCTGAAGTGGCCAGAGAAGGAGTAGTGGTTTGTCTTGAGTGCAGAAACAGCTAGCTACTTCACCTTTGAAACAAAATTAATCATGGTGGAAAATGGCGAATTCACTTAGGTGACCCAGTACCTTGAAACTTCAGAATTCGCTCAAACATTGTCTACAGGGGTTAATTGACATGCTAATTATGAATGTGTTGCCCGTTATGTTTGACAGGGCCTTCAAGTAATGCTATTTTAGGTCTATAGTTTAGGGGGGGTCTTATTGAGACAGCAATAAGAGAAGGGGGGGTCGTAACCAGCAATCGTGTGCCACACTTCTTGCTTGACCCTGATTACAACCTGCTCATTTCTAGTGATTTCTCCTTGTTTCCTTGTCTCTTTTACAATAATTGGTTTTTTATTAATTAGCACTTCTCTAAAGTTTGTCACGCTGGAAAAGGTTTTTTTGAGGAGATTCTACTTAGAGAGCCGTCGATTACCGCGCCAAGTGCATAGACTTATACAGGGTGTCCCAAAATAATGTGCACACTGTTTGATTTTGAATAACTCTCTAATTATGAGGTCTTTTGAGAAGCGGTAAGCGCCATTTTGTAGAGCTGGCTTCAACTTAGATTTACAGTATAGAGCGAATCACCGACCGCTCTTCATTACTGTAGGATTACGGTAGAAACTTGGAAGAGGGTTTTGGGCCAAGAAGGACCATATTTTGCCTCAAAAAGGAATCAAAACAGCCTGAAAACTTTACCAGGCCAGTTAGAGTTGCTGATTCTAACTGTAAAGTTCCCAACTTATTATGGTGCTTCACTGAAGAGTTATGCGAGGTAAGCAGTAGCAGCCATTTTCTCAATGTTCCTAAAAAGTGCGGTTACACCGTTTAGAAAGCTTCGCAATCTTGAGAATAGTTGAGTATTGAACTCAGCGTCCCTAAAAACCCTATTACACAAGTTTTCACATCTTTTTGAAAATTTTTGAAACGGCAGCTTTTTCCACAGTGACACCATATGTTCCAAGTCTCTACGGTAATCCTACAGTAATGAAGAGCGGTCGGTGATTCGCTCTATACTGTAAATCTAAGTTGAAGCCAGCTCTACAAAATGGCGCTTACCGCTTCTCGAAAGACCTCATAATAAGAGAGTTATTCAAAATCAAACAGTGTGCACATTATTTTGGGACACCCTGTATATTACGTTACAAATGACTCGAGGCTATGCTGATGCGCGTAGCTGATGCTGATACATGCAGCGCAGAAGAAAATCGAGGGGTAGGTGAACGAACTCCGCCAGCTTGGACTGCCTCCGCGGACTACTGGTCCTGCAACGACATGCAACAACACTACGAAAGGACCAGTCAGGACCGGTCAGCGAAGGCGGGCCAAGCTGGCGGAGTTCGTTCTCCTACCCAATCGAGGGAGATGAAAGGGTGGGTAGGACAGCAGATTGAAAGTAAATGAACAACCGCGTATGGCCGAGGGAAGGGGAGGAGGGGGGGGGGTGGATCTTCTAAATGAGCATCATCTAATTCACCGGACCAGGAGCAGGTGTCAAATTGGCTTCTACCAATAATTTTCAAGGGAGTGTCCAAGCAAGACTGGGGTATGTGGGATTTTAGCTCTAAAGGAGATTGGACGCTGTGGATACACTTTTGCAATAAAGAAGTCACGTTGGACCAAAAGCGAGAAATCCATTCAAGAATTTGGAAGACTCAGTCTCTAGAGAAGAGGCTCGCCCTGCGGTTTCAATCTGAAAGTGGAGTGCACATGCCACCACATTCAGAGTCGTAGGGTCCCACAGTAACTCTGCGCCTCTGCTTTGACCAGAACTGATTCACTCTACCAAAGGCATAATTTAAGGCTTTGGAAAAACTTTTTTCGTTGTTTTCGCGCTCTTACGATTGCATCTTCGGATTCAGCGTAGCGGATAGGCTCAAGTAAGGGACTAAGCTAGATATTGAATTGCCTGGACGCTGCTTCGAGATCCTTTTTGAGTTTAATAATAAACTAGGATTTTTGCAACTTCTCCCATTCTTTTAAATAAAAACATTCTTTGTAGTAGGATGTACAATGAATATTTCAAATCACATTAGAGATTCAGAGGTCTCTCACCTTCAACATTACTTTGATGTCCAGTTTTGATCTGACTACATCCAAGACTGTTCCTTCAGGGTCTTCCATAATGACGATGCGGTTAATCTCATCAAAGAGCTGTTCACTTAGGGTTTTGTTTACCTAAATACGACATATTAGGTACCAATAAATTTAGAAAAATTTGGAGTACTCACTGAACCGTAAATATCTTGATGAGCTATAGTCAGGTGACCATAGTGCTTCTGAAGGCCAGAGCCAACCCACGTAAATACCCGGTACTCTGTTCGTTCCAGTAGGGTGGAGACTTGCTCGAAAACCTACAAAAATGCTAAGGAGTTAGGTAAGTCTCATCTAATCTCTATCACTAACACTGTCCAGCATTCCCAGGTATTTCTCAGGTATACTCGTATCCTTAAACTTATTCGTAGGATCAATAAACCACTCTCGACCAGCAGACGCACCATAATAGTAGTAACCAGGGGGTATCGTGGATACATCGAGCACACCTACAACATCCTTTGAATATCCAAGATTTGCTTCAGTTGCCAGATTCGTTGGCGCATATCGCGTGACTTCGACCCATAAATTACTAGATTTTGCTCACCTATGTGCATCATTGGTGCGGTTGTTAGGATACAGCATGTTTGAGCGCATCGTCGAGCAAACTGAGCCTGAAAGGGACAGGTAAAATTTACATGAATGAAATTCTTCTTCCTTCCAATAACTGTAATATAGTCAAAAAACAGATTTTTAGAATTTTCGAGCAATATACCTGGATAACCCCAGAATAGGCTGGCTGGATACTAGAAGGATAGCTGCATGCATAGCTCTTCAACGTTCCATCTCTGTCGGTGAAGAAGTAGTGAAGGTGGTCAGCATCGTAAAGGAGGTCGACTGCCTAAAAAAGGGAAATAAAAGCATTTCAAGTCCTGAAAACGAACATTTTAGAATAAAATATAAAAAAATTTTTTGTTTTTCATAGAAACTGAGAGGTTAAAATCCAGACTCAACAGTGGTAGTGAAAAAAAAACAATAAAAGGGGAAAGTCAGAACAAAAAACGAAGTAACGATTAAACGATTATTCTGAAAGCTAAAAGAAGTTACCTTTCCAACTTCCTCCTTGAATTTTTCTACAGATTCAGGATGAGAGCTGCAGAGTGTCTGAAATTTTTAAATTGAAGTAATCACCTTTCATAGGCTTGATATAAGTTAATAAAACACTTTCACAAGCTTAAAATAATTTAAGCCAAAGAAACATGCCTTTGTCGGATTTGTAATTTTCAACAACTATATTCTTCGTAAAAATTCTGTGTAGACAAGTTGAAAACGTAACAAAACACACAACTATTTAATGAAAACTTTATTCTTCGAATAAACATGTATACAATAATAATTCATTTTGATTTGATCGTTTCGGCCACCCATTTGATTCCTTCCGATACGCCTTCATTAGTCAAAGCTGAACATCCTTGAATCTGCCATACTCGGTCACGGATTTCCGTAAGTTTTAGTCGCTTGGAAATTTCGGACGCTGGAGCTGACGACACCAGATCTTGCTTGTTCGCAAAAATCAGCACGGGAACACGGCTGAAATATAAGATTCTATGGAATCTAAAGGATGAGAGTAGGGAAAATATAAAAGTTGGACTTCGAAAATGCTAGTAACTGATGCTGACCAAATGGTAAGAAAGTCAAAAAGGCAAAAGTAGCATCATATGCGTGGTTTGAGAATATTCGGGATTTGCACCATTGCCATATTTTATGTATTGAAAAAATCAAAACCCACATTCATTCAAAATATAATCGAAACGAATTTCTTGGATTGAAAGTGATCGGGTATTTTTCGTGGGATACGGTAAGTTTACGATATGAGACCACTCAACCAACTCTTTAAGCTCGCAATAAATTTGGGCCATCTTATGAAAAATAAATGCGCGCCGTCAACCCGTTTGATCAAAAAAAGTGTTCTGCCCCTCCCCCCCCCTATTAATTTTCCTGAGACACCACAGCTATCTTAGTTAATTTTTTAAGACACGATAGTAATATACCCGAAGGTTTGCTTCAACAAACTTTCCGACATTTTTCCTTCAAAAAAAATTGTGGTTGCCTTAAATGTAGTTTGCAAAGAAAAACAGAGATTACGTTGTCATAGTTGCAAATCTACAAGTCTAATCACCACTTCTAGGTCCAAATAGCATAAAAATCGAAAAAAGTGATCATCTTGAAGAAAAACTCCAACCAACCTCAATTTTTCTTCATCCAACAATTCCATGAGTTCCACACTTGTCTCATCAAATCTCCGTCGATCACTCGAATCAATCACATAGATCAGTGCATCAGTATTTTCAAAGTAATTGCTCCAGAATGGTCGAATTGATCGTTGGCCTCCGATATCCCAAACATTCAGTCGAATATCTCCATTTGTAACCACACTTTTCACATTGAAGCCTCGTGTCGGGGTCACATTAGTAATCTCTTCAGCCGATAACTGCTTCAGAATGCTCGTTTTTCCAGCGTTGTCGAGTCCAAGCAGTAGAATTCGTATTTCACGTCCATTATTTGATTTGAATGACTTGATAATGTCGAGTAGTCCCATGTTTGGGGAGTAGTTAGAATATTAGAATTGAAACGGATCGCAGAGGCTGGCGGGAGCGAAAGAAGCTGGTCTGGCACGATTCTCCATGGCAACCGCAGCAACACAGCGACAAATCTATTTCTATGAATTCTTCAGTGCTCGTTTGGACCACATTTTTATGAAAATTGCCTTAAGCATAAAATTGCCAAGTGCAGATATTCAACGAAAATTATTTCACACGAAACTACTCAAAGGAAGAAATCAGCACACATATGAGATAACATAACAAAATGATATATACAGAGTAAAATCACATAAAAAGTAAAGAGAAAAGAGGATGGAAAGGAGAAAATTCTTTATAAAGTTACGCGAACGACTTGTCTTCACTTGTAAAAAACTAGGTACATTTCATCTGATTAGAATAGTCTTGTAAAAAAAACTTTTTTCAGGAATTGCATATGGCTACCGCCACACCCCTTCCTCTAGAAATTTCGCGGCTATGAATCCATAAAAATTTTGAAAAGTATCCCAAAATATCCTCCCGGAAGCCTGGCAAACACCACACCTCCTTACTCGAGAAAATTGTTTTTGTCCCCCCCCCCCCCGCCGCCCTCCTCTCCCTTTCTACCCGCTGCATGGAAAATAAATCTCGGAGCAGCACCTGTACCAAGCTAGTAAGAGTTCAAACTTACGCCACAAGCTTGCCAATTTTAGTGATTATTGGCAAAAGTGTTACAAAGACCACGCCCCTTTTGGCAAATTCAACCCCTCTCGCAAATCGCTCCAAGTGGTGCTCTAGTGATTCAGCTGAATCACCTAGCCAATCTGGAAATTCCATTGCCTTTGCCACCTTTATTAGGTTGGTGCAAAAGTAATGCGCGTTTTTCTAGCCCTTACTTCAAGACACTCCTATGAAACTTACCCAGCATACTTTGAAGAAGCTTCTTTCATGCTCTATTTAATGGTGGTTGAAAGAAGCTTCTAGCCTCAACCGTTAAAAATTTATAGAGCTTCATACAACAGCACTCGAAACCAGAATGTCATTGCACTTACTTTTTTGGCAAGAATTTGAGCGCGAGTAAACGCATTCTTTTGAAAATTTAACTACTGTATGCAGTAGAAATTTTCTACGTTGTGCACGCTTTGCTGTTTTCTCAGAAATTACTTAGACTGAGATTTCGGTGCCCCAACATGAGTGATGGTTATGACCATTCTGTGGCCCATAGATTTTCTTTAAAGAGGGCAATCGCCAAAGTTTTGCTCATTCCTGTAAGCGTAAGGGTGGACCTCCTGTTGACAGTTTTTGCAGAATTGTGGAAGCTGTTCAGTACACAGAAAATCAAAAATCTCCATATTTTGGGATTTTGAGGGGTACGAAAAAATGTCGAAAAAGCGGACAATTTTCAATATTACTTTTTCGTTTTCGCAAGTCTTCTTTGTTTGAGCCCCTTTCAACTTCTTTTTGTACTACTGGCTTACGGCTACAAGACAGTCATTTTTTCATTTATACCGAGTCTTGAAGGAGGTTATGATCAGTTAAAAACGAGGTTTCCGAAAAAAATTTTTTTTGCTTATCAATTCATATTTTTTCACCGTTTTGCGATGTTAGCACAATTAATGTGCGCTGTATAGAGAGAGGTTTGGTGCTTCTAATGGACTTTGCCGCGCAGAAAAATATGGATTTTTTAAAAAGTTATAGCACGTGATCCTTCGTAAGTCCTTTTTCTGTTTTTTTTTTCGTCTTAATGTTTGGCAAAAAAAGGGACCTGTGAATCAAGTTACCCTTGTTTTTGTGCTGCATGACCTTGAGTCAACATGGATCTATGATTTTTATGCAGAGCACTTGCACTGTTTGAATAACATAAACTTTTCTGGAACTAGGAATTAGAAAATGTCTACCCCCCCCCCCCTACCTCATTGAGCCTGTTTTCAATTGTGGCACGAATTTTGCAGCTCTGTCTACTATTCTTCCCATCTCTTTTGCAATGGCCATAGTTCCGTTGTAAGAAACTCCTTTATTAGATCGAATGGGGTCACGGCACTATGAGCGGCGCTTCAAAGATTTTCATACAATTTCGCGAGGTCATTGCGCAGGTTTTTCTGCCATGACGTATGAACCCCATTAAAGTAAACGCTTTTTTACATTGCTAATCGGTCAAATTTTCATGGGGACATAGCGCATGATAGTACACATAGTTAGCATTGTCGTAGCAGAAGGCATTTTCAATTTGCATCAGTTTCACACCTTCGTTTGAACCAAGGTAATTTCCGCGCTCAAAAGCGAGTCCAATGACTAAAAAAATTATAGTTCTGTATGAGAGCATTCCCGATCAAGCAATTCATAAATCTGTCTTTACTGTACTTAGCTACAACTGCTATAAAACTAAAACTAACGTAAACAGACATTCACGGCGAAATTGAAAACTGGAGCACAGCTATCTAATGGATGTGTGCAACTGCGGACCAGCTTTGTCTGTTTGTACATGAAAAAAGTAGAGATAAACTCGTGAATTTTTCACATTTTCTCTTTGGGATGGAAAGCGCGCTACAAAATTTTCCTCGCTTCTAATTGAGCAATTCAGTCTCATGATTAAAGGGTTACTGCTTTCGAAGGAAACCTTGCGTCCTATAGAAAATTGTATACTATTGCAAATGCCATTCTCTTTTTTTCCAGGCCAGGAATTTTCCACACATCTGGCGTTATTTAACGCGTTTCGATAGAAGGAAGAAATTATCATGGAGACTATGGAAACGGAGGAGAATTTAGTGGTCTCCGATTTGAACTCCGCCTTGGATATAAAAGCGTGTAAATTAACTATAAGAAAAAACTGCATTCCGCGGTTATTTTGTGGCAATATCTTATTTTCACCATCTGAATTATAGTACTTCTTTCATTCCCTAAAAAAACCTCAAGCACTCAAAATTTTGAATACTCAATACTTTCAAAAAAGCTTTTACGAAGGGTCGCCATAAAGACCGGTCTTGCAATTCCTCCACAGTAACATAGCGCATGGAAAAGTTTACAATAGCAAATTCGTGTACATTAAACTTACGCGACCTTAGAAAAGACGCAAAAACTATTAGCCCGTATCCGCTCCATTCAAAAAAGTACGGAAATCTATCCCATTAAACCACGAACTACACTCTTAATCGCACTCCGCTCATTGCTTGCGATCCTTCCGCTCTCAAGGTGACACCCAGACATCATCATCATCGAATTGGGTTGGCTAGCTGTTAGTGGCGAACGATAGCTCTAGGATTCGTCTCGACGCTAAACTGAATGGATGTCTGTTATCTACGCGTTTTTCTTATTCTATTCTTTCTAGACAACACTTCTAGCGATGAGGCTTGCGCGTTTGTGTGAGTTACTTTGCAGTTTTGATGATAGATGCTAGTCTTCATGGTCGTAACAATAGTCTGACCTTATTGTCACAATTAGTTTGAACAACAATTGTTGACGATGTGTTAGGAAGCCTGCCAAGAATATGCGCCCTTTTCCAGCCTAGTTCAAATAAACTTCAAATTCAAAATTGTCCTATGGTGATTTCTTTGAAAAACGTGTTTAAGAAAATCGAGGACAGCTTAGTTAGTGCAGAGTCTGCTTTGAAAAAGATCAATTTGTGGCCATTCTCAAAACTGTTATAAGATGACCAAATTTTCTTATTCATATTTTCTGAATGAATATATATTTTCTGAAATGAGTGTATTTTCCTCAAAATTTTTGAGGCAGGTTAATCTACTCGCTTATAAGGAAAATGATACTCGAATTCAAAGGAAATAAATTTGGAAGAAATCAAGCACCGTTGTTTTCCGCCTAAGGAATTTCTTGAACTGCTACTCGGTTCTTAAGGGAACGAAATTCAAGGGCTCAAGATCCCGGACTTTTCGCTCGCAATTCGCTAATTTCCCATGTCAAGCATATGACCATACCAAAATTGGATATTTCTATATAACATCTATAGCCATACACTCCAATTGTTTGAATATTTTATGAAATTTCTCCAGTTACCTCTTCTGACTGCAACTCAATAAGAAATTTGTTGTTCAAACCACAGAAGTCTCGATATTATTTGTAGTAAAGGGGTTTTTCGTTCATGATTTGTACTGCATGTGAACTAGAATAATGTCACATGATAGCCCAAAAAAACTGCATGCGAAACGGATAATAAGCACTATCACGGTCAAGGACAAAACGGAAGTTCCTATTTCGATAGCAAAAAGTTTGCGCAGTTAGCGGAATCTTAGCATCGACTCATATCACAACAATTAGAGCTAAAATCGTGCGCAAAATGGCGATAGGAGCATAAAAAGTTCCATCCTTAAATTGGTGTCCTAACCTTCAGAAAGGTGCAGATATTTGCTGAAAAATTGCTGCTGTTTTCTTCCCCCCCCCCCCTCATCCTCTTCTCCCTTGAACCCTTCCACTTCCCTAAACCATAAACATTCTCAATAACGATTTCATGTACATTTCCAACCAGAACCGACCAAATGTCGAGCTGGTAACACAAAACGTCCTTCACATCCTTTTTTTCAGCAATGACGACTACTGCTTCCGCTTCGGCCAGATGTCATGCTATCAGAAAATCTGCCAATGTGAGCTGGAGAATTGCACTGGTTTGAGCGAATGTATTCTTTCACCATGGTGCGATCCATCAGGAGAAACACTACTAACACATGAGGTTAGCCCTTATACGAGTCGTAAACTAAATCGCACGAATTGTCGCAGTAAGCAGTCCTTTAATTATGTTTATGATATCAATTGACATCGCCTTAGTGGTACTAAAAAGAGGTTTGTAACTGTCTGAAGCACTAACTCAGGCTAATGAAAATTTCAATTATTTTCATTCTTCTAAGCAAAATTAGTGTTGTTAGCTCTAGAATTTTTTGAAACCCTCTTTACGACTTTGTTTCTCAATTTTAAGCATTTCTACATTTTTATCCAACAAACTCCAAAAGAACCCTTCACTATTTTAGCTGCTTGTCAATGAAAACCTATGAGACTCTGAATGTCTGTTGTGCGAGAATTGCCACTCATGTCAGGTGCCAGCTAAGTGCCACCTAGGTGCTAAATAGGTGCCAATTGGGTGCCAATAAGTGTGAGGTAAATGCTATTGTTAGCCACTGACTTACAAGTCACAGACTAATCGAAGGTTCTCCACTCCTTTTAACGTGATTAGAGCTGTGGAAGAACATCTGCTATTCAAAGATTAAAGAGAATAGAAAGATTAGGGGTCTCACAGTTTTTATTCCTTTTTTTATATCTTTTTTGTGTGAAGGAAAGTATTATTGAAGAAAAATTCTAGGAGTACAATCATCTCCATCTGAAAGTCAAAAATATCTTGCATAAGTTTTTGTCCCAGCATCTTCAGCGAATCTTCAAAAATGCGCGATTATTTTCAGTAGATACTTCCAAAAAATTGCTTGATTATGATATGTTGAGAAAAAAAGATCATGCACTTTCTGATAATAGTTTAGCCAAAATGTTGTGTTCTGTCAAGATCCTGGGTGATGGAGAAAAATACTGAGATTTTGTAATTTTCAGTTACCATACGATTTTCTTGTACACAAGTCTGGTTTTACCTGTTCAATTACATCGAGGAAACGATTTACCCTACTGAAGCAAAGAAAGCACGAAAAAGGTCAGAAAAAAACTTTCCAAGAACTCGCCTTACTTGGCTACCTTACATGTAATGGCAAAAAATTAGTCTTTTAACATCATAGGCAGTGGCGTTCCGAGGGAGGCTTACATGAGTTATAAAAATGTGCAAGTGACGTATTTATACGTGTAAATAATCAAAATAACTTTGAAAAATTTTTAAAAATTCAATTTAGCCTTTTAAAAATTTTCGGGGGCGACTCTTGACGAGCGACTCTTGCTCTGCTTGGAACCAGGGGCTCGATAACCTTCAATATGAAAACCTTTTACACCTCAAAACATATACTATCACACAGTGCAGTCGCTAGAACTGTTGTTTATAGGAAATGAAATGTAAAAATGTACTTTGTGCGTTCTATGGAACACTCCAAAGATGGCGCAAAGCCTTGCACTTCCGATTGCTTCAATATCAATCAAAATAATTTGAATCAATTTTACACATTTTGTACATGTATGGTCAATATTTCTCCTTCGCATCCAAGTGATTTCATCAGTGGTAGAAATTTTGTTTCACTCAATTTTCGGGATGATTTCTGTGTCATGGAAATGTGAACGGCGTGTAAAGAATGTTGTCCAACAAAGAATGTAAACATGCCGCGAATTCACGCTCAAAAATATTTTCTCACGTGTTCCCAAACGATAATGATCGACCTGTGGGGGGGGGGGGGGAGAGATGAGGATTCATTTTATGGTGCACAAGCACACGCAAAAGAGCAGCGCTCAGTTCTTCAAGAGCTGTGTCCAGGCAACACACCGCCAACACGCTCTCGATTTCAGAGAGCAGCACACAGTGTGTGATAACAGACTAAAAAGTTAAGTGGCAGTTTGTCGCCATCGTTCGTCGGTGTCGTCACCCCCCCCCCCCCCCCCTTCGCTCTACGAACACGAAACACACGTGCGAAGAGGGAAGACGCCGCAGTTCTGTGCTGTGCTCTGTTCTGTTCTGCCACACCCCGTTCCAATCGACACAGTCCGAAAATGTCCGTATTTAGTCGAATTCCACGAATTCGTTCAATTATTCGCTTTACATTGCCAAAATTTTTCGATTTGGACACTTACATATGGAATCGCTATTCATCAGCTGACGCAATTCTAGTGAATATTCAAAAAGCCGACGAGGATGAGGAACATCCTTGGAGACGCGAACGACTTCGGCAACTCCTCGATAAGGGGCCATATAAGCCAAGGATTTATCTGGACCCCACTGATCGACAGCAGTACCCGGACGAGTTTTTGCAGGACATCTCGGCCTGTAGCCATCCGTGCCTTCATGGATTTGTGCTCGACCTGACTGGCGATGAAAATCTCCATGACTACGAGGCAATCATAAATCGCGGCGAACTCGTCCAGAAACGCTACTGGGAAGTGCCGAAAACGATGACGTCAGAATTCAAGGACGTATCCCTGCTTGTGGATATAAGCAGTAAATCCATGTATGCGATTTATAAGTATAATTTCGTTGGCGCAAGAGGAGGTTGGAGCCATGTTGAGGAGTTAGTGAAGAAGGCAACTGCCGACAATTTGCTCATGCTCGGATGGAGGAGCCGTCCTTTAAGGGACCATGATAAAATGATAAAGGAGATGAGCACATTAAAAGATTTGGGCTTTGTTGGTTATGTCCTACAAGATGCGGACCAAATCGAGCTCGCTAACAAAATCTTCACCTAATCCTTGGGAAAAGACCAGTTCTCGTCCCTACCTCCATATTCCCACTTATTTCCAGCATCCTTCACTTCTATTATTTTATTATTTTCACATCTGCTGGCCGCACAGCTGGACTAGACATTGCTAGTGTAAGCACATTATACTTTTTTATATTGGAGAATGTTCTTTGGTGCAAATGCATGTCATTTTTGTCATATTTTTTTTGCATGATCACTTTGAACAAACGTCAAGAAAAGCTTGACAGCAAATAAATATCGATCATTCGAAGGTGCTAGACGCATGTTTCTAACGGCCAAAGTATTCATCAAAACGAGTTTAGCAGATTACTCATCTATCGATCAAAAACTTTGACAAAGATTCATGTATGTTAGATAGATGTGAAATAGATAGATGATACAAAAGGGACAGATTCCTGCGCTGATTTTATCGTAGAGAAAACCTGACTCATAAGTTGTTGATATGAATTTCAAAGTGTAACCTAGCGCTAGTCAAGTTTAATCACGTTCTCATATAGCGATCCCCAAGAAACTCAAATTCTGAAAAAAAAATGAGCAGGTGAATATAGTCCAAGAAAAATTAATTCACAATTTGCTCATCACCTAGGTTTACTTCAAGAAGGCGCCTAGACAAAGTTAACAGTGAGATTTAGATAATATAGCTAGTAGATCATCCAAATGACGACCCAGGTCCTGCTGCAAAATACTGCTTTGAGGGTAGGATATTTGCTTCGTAAGCGGGACCGGCCATACTATTCCAGGAAGTGATTCCCGCAATTCCTGTGATTCTTGCAATTCCTGTGATAATATAGCCAGTGAATCCTCGAATTCCGATGTGCCGCACGAGTATACATTATTTTTTTCGCAATATACATTGTTGTGGGACCCACAGGAATAACAGGAATCACAGGAATTGAATTACAGTAATAGTATGGCCGGTCCCATCGAGAGGCGAGGCAGTCTACCACAGCTCTTTAAGTGGAGCGTCTACCCCACCCAGCTATTATTGGGTGGTTGGTGGTCGGTGCCGCTTGCAACAAAAGTTTAGAAACTTTGCGCCCAAAACCGACGCTCCGCCCCTAGTTTGCTACATGGCAGGAAGAAGGGCATTTTAGTTAGGGGGCGGGTTTAGTTTAACGACCAATCAAGTCCTGACACGATATACTACCCTTTGATTCAACTGGCTTGGCGGCTGGAAGGTGCGGCCTTGTGACCTAATTAAGGCTAGATAGTGATCAGAAGGCACGCGTGCGACAGAGACGCAGACTGCGTCGCGGGTGCGAGCGGCCTTAATCAACAGAGCCCGCCTCCTTCCAACCGCCAAGCCAATTGAATCAAATGTTACGCTTAAGGTGATGCAAGCTTGGGCGTGCATTATGCAAGCGCTTTTCAAATGGCGCACAGAGTATCGAAGCAAACTCAAACAAAAATCAAAGTGTATGATATACAGGGCTACAGGCTTTGAAGCCAAACGCAGCCGGTTAGGCGCGATTGCGTGCGGCAAGCGCTGTATTCTAACATACCGCGACGCGTGTGACTGCGCTGCGTCATCACGCGGATCCAGCGCACCAAACAGGAATGGGTTCACGAGTAATGATGACAGTGAATGATTTAGGATTTTGCTCCTGGCAACTTCCAATGTGATAGACTAAAGACTGATTGTCTAACCCGCCCAAATAGTAACGGATACTGCTACATTTACCGACAAAAATGTAACAAGGATGAAGATGTAGAAGCAAGACTCGAGAGTAGTGTAAGTCCCTGTTCTTTCTAGTGCTCAGAATTTTACGTCCTCTTTACAGCTGTACGGTGATCTATCTAAAAATTGCCCACGATGGAAGCGAAAATGCTCGGAAAGGGGTCCGGCGGATACTTCATGTATTCGATTTTCGGAAAAATGTGCTTGGCTCAACATGACTACAGAGAGTGATTACAAATATGACGGCTCATCGTCATCCGAAGAAAAAAGATATGATCTACGAGAAAAACAGGTGATTTGCCCTCTACTTTGTAGCTATCCGCCAACCAGAATAAATGCGAGAACTGGTCCCCATGATTTTCTTTAGAGTAACCTGATTCATTGATTTCTTTTTTTTGCACCATCAAATGTGTTCTGATCGTGTTACAGCATCGGGTTAATTAACATGCGAAAACTGTCTCCATATGCCTTATACACAAAAACTTGATTTTTTAGAATATATTCATGGCATTTGTACAGAAAAACTTCAGTATTATTGTGTTACACCCATTTTATTGACTTGGGTTAAAAGCGAAAACTGGTCCCCACAGTTGCTGCTCCAAAGAAACCCGATTTTTTTATTACTCGTTGCATTAGCATGAGAAAAGCGGTCGTGTAACCCAATTTTATGTGTTCACCTACAAGCGAGAACTGGTCCCCGAACAGCATTTTTCACTAAAATTCTTGAAAGTGTTATAGTATTGTTGTGCTTTCCAGAAAATGGAGAAAATGTGCTCTAAATGGGAACGTAAATGTATCGAGAAATGGCCAAACCTCGATCATTATTCGTGTCGTATGCTCAATAAGAAATGTAGAACTCATAATCCAATTATACAACCCATTACGGGGCTCAAACCGGATTATGCGTCGGAGGTGACAGAATCCGTTGCAGTTCAGGTTTGTTTTTGTTTTGCAAGACAATCATTTTTTCTAGCAAATTTTTGAGGAAAAAAATTTTTTTAGGATCGCGAAAAACTCATGGGCCAATGTCAACGATGGAAAAAGACATGTGCACGAAAATATCCGCGACATTCCTCATGTCGACAGTATCGAAGAAAATGCAAATTTGTAGATCTCTATCCTAAAGATTTTTCACCCATTCCTATAGCCGGAGGTTCTCGGCCTTCCGTGCAGGAACCTCCTCGGCCCTCCGTGCAGGAGCCCCTACTCCCACGTGATTTCACGTCTGAAGAGTTGAGTAGTAATTTAGAACCTGACGAAGCCTCTGGCTTATTATTAAGTGCTGATTTATAACCTGTTAAATAATATTGAAAAAATCTCACATCAACAAATTGTTCCACATTGTCCACATCTTCACTTTGTGCATAGTCCATGAATAATAAATCCTAATAAATATATAATTTACGAACTGTACATCTTTATTGTAAAAAATGGTATAAGTACCTTTTCAAACTCTTCCAGCTCATTTTTAATATCAAATTTGGCAGTGTCTGGAGAATCGTTTGACGCTTTGAGTACTAACAAATTTAAGTCTAGATTCATGCTGTTTTCGAGAGATTCCTAAACAGTAACTTGGTTATCTTGCTGATCTTTCATTACCCCCGGAGTTCCCGAAGGCAGTGTTGGGACAAATCTGGACTTTGAGTTCCTTATGTGCAAAAATTTCATTGAAAGGTCTTCACAAGACGTTGCCCAAGTAGCAGCTCATATGCTCCATTCGTGGCCAGGAATCATCACTGTAAATTCTCGCCCAGTATCGTAACCTCTTCCATGAGCGTCGTGCTTACTACGGTACTGGGCGAGAGTTTAAATTTCGATTTCTCCGTCACAATGATATCATACGAGCTTCCTTTCGAGTAATGGCTCAGTCTCAACCCGCAAACACATTCAAAACACAAGTAACCAAATTTGTCCAGAAACTGTTTCCAAAAAATATTTCTGACCTTAGCATTGCGAATACTTATTGCGAAATGTGGCCTGATTGGTATACCCTTGAGCACTCTGTCAACAATTTGTCTTCTAACATTCCTTGTGCGCATCATAAGTGAGAAAAAATCCTCCAGCGTTGTTACCTGGAATTGGGTAAGGGTAAGGTAAAGGCGCAAGTAGATGAGTGACTGACCTGCATGGGTCGGATCACCAAATGGGTCCAACTTGGATCCAAGAATGCAGCACTCCATCTGAAATCACGTTTTGAAGAAAGTGGAACTTTTTAGGTCAAATATTGTAATAGAATTCCTTTACCTTTCTATATCATTAGATAAAATGAATTCACTCATTCTTTTTCCATGAGCTTTTCTGGTTTCTTCACTTTCCGTAGCAGATCGATAGAACACATCAGCATAGTCCTGCCACAAAAACCTTAGAGATTCTTTAAAAATATTTTTTGCCCACCTCAGTGTCAAATAGATCGGCAACGCGATGGTAATTCTTTACTCCATCTTCCTTGTACAATCCAGATGTAGTGAACTGTACTTCGGATCCGGCACCGGTAGATAAAACGAGACCTGCTTGAGGATTGCAAACTAGCATTTCTTTAGCTACCTGGAAAGAATAAGAGAGCAAAATATTGGGAAAATTCCCGAATAACTTTCGAAAAGTATGTTCTCTGCGTTGTGGTACTTTTGCACCGCTACAGTATGTTACGTAATCGCGCTTGACGTGCAAGGTACGAAATAATTTGTATTCCTAGCATTGTGACATCCCACGAAAGTATTATTCTTTAAGATGAGCGAAAAGCAACATAGCAGTATGCTACCGTAATCGCGGACCTTTATACCGCGACAGTATGCTACCGTAACCCCATATGGCTACGGGGTAAGACTCACGATAGTCGCAAGCAAAAACTGAACGTTTTTCAATGTCGATTAGGTAAAAGAAGGATGCAAAAAGTTCCGCGTTATTTCACTCTCCAAAATCCACAGGTTACGGTAGGCATACGGTAACTCAGGCAAAGCAACAGTTATTGCGCTTACGTACCAAATTCATTCCATCTTTCTTTGGTGTTACCACACCGATATCCATAGCCATATACGCTGCAACCAGATCTGCTCTTGGCAGTCCTACAAGACAAAATTACGTCCTTCAATACCATTTGACAAATAGGTGGATACTGTAGGTAAAACTAACCATCTGTTTGGAATATCAAAGGCTTCCATTCTGGTCTTTTCGGATCACGAAAATCTTCGTTGATTTTCTTGGCCATGTCCAGGCAAACGTCTTGGTAAACCCGATAAGTTTGCACTGATCGTCGATTTGTCACGGCAACCTAAATAATGATTTCCTCTTACGATTTATAACACTTGAAAAGAAAGTGTGAAACTAATTTGGGCTTCCTCTAAAAAAAAGCGACAACCTCTTACGTTTCACTCGTTATCAAAACATACACTTCGACACCTTCGCCCGGTACCGTAACCTTTGTGAGCGGGTGGAAATACGGTACCGGGCGAATGCCAGGAATTACATGTGTAAAAGAAGGTCCATACCTGATAAAGGGTATCCTTGCCCACACGATCTGGATATTTTTCGAAATATCGTCTATATGCAGCAAGTTTTTCTTTGATTCCTTTCGTATAATCAAATCGTTCAACGGAGAAGAACATTCTGCCATCTTTGGGAGGATTTTCGCCCATTATCTGTAAACAAATTCTATTTGCTTGGTGCCGCCCCTATTAAACCGAAACTTACCTTCTTTCTTATGGCAGCTGCTTTGACAGCTGTTTCTGGCATTTGTACAAATTTGAGGAAATCGTCATTTTTGATGCTTACTGGGAAAACACCCAACGAGCATGTCCAACCCTCGTGCGTCACTAAAAATATCAGTCATTTTGGTACTCAACTATAATCAGATACACTCCAAGCAAATCTGCACTCTCTTATATAGGCTCATGTGATTCATTCTTTCCTAGAATAGTATAACTCTAAACCCTCGCCCAGTACCGTAAGATATAGTCGACAGGTTGGAAAGGATACGATACTGGACGAGAGGAGTTGTATCGCGGCTACAAATGAATTGTTGAACTGCGGCTCGGAAATTAGCTCTCTTAAGGCTTTTTAACCAGTTTTGCATAAGAGACCACGCGTCCAGAATTACCTGGATACTGTTTTCAAGCTTACCAACCTGTATCTATGTCCCAATGCTGATCATGAGTTACGGTAACACCTTTCAGATGTTTTTGCACTAGTTTTATGTACTCGGCACGATCCCGATGAGTTTGAAACCCAACCTAAACAGCGTTTCATACTTATGCACAACCGGATGCTCAGTCACTGACCTTTGTGAATCTCAACAAGCCTCTTAAAACAGGAAAAGCACAGGTGGCATACTTCGTGAAGAACTCTGGTGGTGGTTGAAATGGAATGTGGAGGAAGAATCCAACCTATAAGTCGTGTTTCATTCTGGAGCCTTTTAGTCATAAGCCAAACAAGCACGGAATTCCTCAGCTTATTTCCGATTTATAGTAATCTTCGCAAAAGGGATAAACTTTTGAAAATCTCTTTAGCTTATTGTTGGATTAGTATTTCGACATTGGTTGAGTCCCGCATGGAAGCTCCGCGACGCAGGAACGGATCCGAGCTGGTGATTGTCTTGTGTGTTTTCTCATTGCATCATTCTATGTATAGGGTATTTGAAAAATCGTGACGATGGCGCGACCGCGCGCGACACGCACGCCACTTCCGAAATCATATTTTCTTAAATTTTATCTGTGGTCGAATAGTGTTTGCTTACGTATGATAGTATTTAGACATTGTAAGTGACTGAGCTGAACGTTGAGGTGATCCCCTCTTGCATGAGCGTTTCGTGCTCCCGTGGGCGCAAAGTCCGCAGTAAAATCCGTCGTCACGATTTTATAAATGAACCATACACCTAATCTTGTCATCGACTCTGAAAGATGGCAAAGACGGGACGAGCAGACAACTCGTCCTAGACCTTGCGCGGCTCGCGTGGGTCCCGCAGCGAGCACCTACAGCTACAGTCTGGAAGGAAGTGGACCCCGCAAATGGCAGCCTTTTCACATTTTGCTTGTGTTTTTAACATAAATAAATTATGGCCTACCTCCAAGTTTGGGTCTAATGACTGCATAATCATTCCCGTAAGCATGAGATGATAGTCGTGGATCCATATGAAGTCCTTAGGTAATTAAATTTAGTTTTACACCTTTTGACGAGGAAAACCCTACCTGTGGTCGACTATTCCTTACAGCATCGATTGCAAACTGGTAATTCACCCTTACGTAAGCGCACCAATGGTCGCGTAGCACCTATAAATACTTCTATTTCACTTCTACATAAGCAAAGAGACAAGAAAACTATCTATCATATGTTAGGTAATTAACTTATGTATAACAAATGCAAAAATAATTTTTGAAATTTAATTTTCAATCTATTCGTACCTTGGGCGAGTCATAGTCCTGTACAATATATTCGGGTAGATTATGCAAAGCTGGCCATAGAAGACCATTACTTATTCCACCATAGTAGACATTATAATCTTCTTCTTGAACAACAACCGGATTCAGCTTGTAATTTCCTCTATTGTAATTGTTGAGCACACCAAGCAGGGACATTTCTTCCCTGAAGGCAACCGGTCGTATAAGTGGATTGGGTGAAACGGAGGTCGAAATGATGTATACCTCGCCTTTTTCTGCTCAGGAGTAAATTCTTGTTCGGGTTTATCATCATCGGCCAAAACATGGAAGAATACCTAAAATTAACTAATGTATATTAAGATCTTGCGCTAATTACCTGCTATTGTGTTTACTAATTTCGTGCAGTATAGGTTATCGCAAGGTTAAGGTAGGTGTACGGTAGTGACATGAGGAGGATATTCATGCATGGTAGTTTGAAATTGGTAGTCAAGTTATAAACATTGTAAATTGATGAAAAAATTCGAAAATTTAAGTAGGCTTTTTCAGGAAAAATTTTGGAAATTGAAGTCGCTGGTCAAACGCTTGCTAAAATTCGGCTTCCTTAGTTTTCCGAGGAACGTGCTTATCGAAAAAAAAAACTGCTGCGTTACCCTCACTCCCCTCAAGTATTTCTGATTTGACTATACGTTGGGGAGCCATTTTCTTGAAATTTGATAAAGTCTTGCATAAGGGATTTTTTTCATATGCTGATCACAGATATGACTATGCTAGCATCTTACTAGTGGTTGAGTTTACGGTAGATATACAATGGTGAACATCAATGTGCCCTCGATAAGCCTTTGTTTTTGACAAAAAATACAACTGTGAGAAAAATCTAGAAGCACTGCTGACCTCGGCCATCGCTTGTTTGATAAGTGGTAAACCAAGAGAATTTGTTGATGGAGCCATGGCTGTATGTTCGGATTCTTCAGTGGATTTTTCAGAGGATAACGACCTACAATCCGCTTGACACTTTCTTTTTTTACAACAAAAAATGTCGCAAGCTCACTTCCTCCTGTCTTTGATATTCATTCCCAGATTTGCTAACCAAATATTTTCGTGGTCTTTTGTCATCACTGGATCCACACAGGATACCAGGCCTCCTGATCTGTAAAAATTCATTATTGGCAAAACAAGAAAATGTGCACTAGGTGAACCAAAGAAGTTAGTTGGGTCGTTGTTAAAGACTTCGTTGGCGCGGGCAACTGCCAATTTTGCAATATGTAGAAATGCATGGGTTATGGCAGATGTCCGCACGAGCAGAGCTTACCAAGTTTCACAGTTTTGTAAACCTAGTGGCTCACCCTTGCTTGATGTTCCAGTCACCAGTTTTGCCCCTTTTGAGAGATACTGGTGGAGCGTTTGATACATTAATCACGCGTTGCTAAAAAGATAAAGAAACAAAAATTCAATTTTGTGACCCCCCCCCCTCAGACGTACTTGAAAATGTGTATTGGCAATCCCGCCCATTGGAATTCGTGGTTCTTGGGATTCGGCTTCGTCTTCAGAATGTGACGAAGTCCTAGATCGTTCCCCAGTGGATTGTCTAGCAGCAGTAATAGATTCAGCTTGAAGTATCAAGCATTAAGATAGATACAAATGGATAAAGTTCTACTTGTGTCTTTTACTTACGTTTATCCTCATCCATTTCGCTTCCTTCCAAGCTTACTTGTGAAGAATGTCGAGAAATTCGTTTTTGAAGATGATGGAAACGCTCTCCAAATTGTTTTGCATTTTGACCCAGAAGCGATTTTCTTATGCCTGGTACAGCAGCATAGAGCTCCCTAGAAATACTAGATATGATTTAGAAGGTTAACTGGGAGACTTTGAGAGGTTTGAGGACGTGGAATGGGTAGCAAAAAAAAATCGAAAGTGGTCCACATACATGAAAATGTGGAGTTGAGTTATTTTTACTTACAAGCAAATGAAATCATGAATTCTAAATTTTTTTTAAATCCAAGCACACGCCTGCTAATGGCATGAGCGACTCACACGCCCGTAACGCTTTCCAATCAGGACCATCGCCGCGCGCGACACACCTCACGGCGGCTTTTGGCTGAGCAAAGCAGGAGGAAGAAAGATTTGCGGCGTGCGTGACGTGTTAAGACAAGTTCCCTCCTTTGATAGAAAAAAATTTCTTTTCTACTCCCGAAAAAAATTTCAGGGGTTCCCACTGCTATTTTTTCGCTACGGTGTGGGTGTTTTGTGCTATTTACTTACCTTAGTCGACTTTTTCCAGTATTTACATCATAGAGAGTCAAAGCAAATAGCAAAGCATCTCTGTACTTGGTTCCGTAAGCTAAATCCGAATCAAATATGTAGGGAACAGCAACTCTGAAATAAATGCGTTTACAGACATTTAATTAAGAAGACAATTACGAGATATGTATAAAAATAAAGGTCTTCGTAATCATTAATTATTTAGATGGATTTTTTCGTGGAAAAGGATAAATATAACGAAGTATTACCTCCAAAACTGAACAGTGTTATATCCGAGTGATGTGACAAGCGATTCAAAACATTGGTTTTCGTCGGTTGAATGTGCTAAGCAATACTCCAATATAAGCAGTAAACCCTGAAATAAAAATATGAGCAATTATGCGTCCCCTATTGTGGAATTTTCCTGTGCGTTTCCCATAAATAAGTTGGTTGGCCTTTCCTTATGCGTGATTTATGATTCACAATGTCCATCGGAAATTATGCTATAGTCAAAAAAATTGAAGTTGCATTGTCAGTTTATCCAGGGTAGAGGATTTTATATCACCGTAAGCTCCGCCCACGCAGACATCTGCCACGAACCTCACGCCTCAAGACGTTATATTCCATGACGTTTACAGCGCAGACAAATCCCAACGACATAAGGTTCTCTATCCGTTTTTATGTTTGTGACCGCTTTGATACGTTGAACTTCAGAATGTAGGTGTTTTTTATCTTTGTAAGACATCATCAAATGGTAAGTTTCAAAAACAGATCTATGCTGCGAGGTGAGCCGCTTTGAAGCGGTGGTAAAGTACTGGTAGACAGAATTTACGAGTGTGAGAATAGGTGGCCCTCTCACCTTTAGATATCTTTCTGACTGTTTGTCTCGTTTTCTCCACGATGCTATAAGTGGATCCAATGAAACGAGAACAACTTTCAGCGCTTCTCCATCTGGTAGGACGACTTGATCCTTGTCAAGTGTTTTTTGTAATTGCTAAAACTTGGGATGTTTTCATTGCACTCAATGACGCCAAATAACGTGCCTCTCTTAGAATTTGTAAGGTTATAGGTTGTTGCAAAGGCCTATTGAAAGGACGATGGTGTAGACCGTCTGCTGACATCTGCTGATATCTGAAAGATGTGAAATCAGAACTAAGTCACAGACATTTAAAGACCAAAAATGACGCAGATTTAAGGGAGCAACATGAGAGGCCTAGAATAAAAAAGGCCAATCAAGCGACTAATGATTCAGCATCCAGCTGGAGAACGCACCTCTTTTTGATGGATCTATGAAAGAATGAACTTCATATTGAATGAGAAGAATTATGATGACTCGTCAATTCAAGTAAACATATATCTTCAGCCGAAGACATTGTATTTCTTCCTAACTTTCTAATAAAAACCATTGCAAAACATTGTTATTCCATTTGATAAAACATAATTTTAGCTGCTTCTGTAATACGTTTATTGCGAATGCATAATGTTTTTGTCCAGATATACTATCAACCCCAAAATCTGTCATTTCCAAAGGCACCGTCAATTCACTTCGGGGATGTTGAGATTTTGATGCGAGGCCTTTAACTAGGTCCCAAGCATGCAAACGGCCTTAATTCGAAGCGAAGAAATGTAAGATGAATGCTGCTGGAGTCGCCACGCCCATCAAGGTGGATAGCCTAAAGATGAGAGCCTTAAACTAGCTCAGAAGCATTTAGAAATGTTAAAGATCAGCATTTCAATTCAAAATAGGGATTTCACACATTTTTAGGTCCTCTTAAACCCAGTTCCGGGCTCATTACTCTGGACCACCCGCGTTGGTGGGGGTGGCGACCCCAGCAGCGTGCACCTTCTAAAACGATCTTCTCGCTTCGTGACACACTTTTTGAAGCGGTATTAGAGCATTACTTAGTAAGGGGCCTCGTTATTCATCACATCAATTTTGGATAGATTTGGGAAATGCCATCAAGCTTCTGAGTGTTGCGGATCCAAAACTGCGCCTCAGAGCTTTTGAGACACTCTAGAGCCCAGTTGCTGGCTCATTACTTTGGATCACCCACGTTGGTGGGCGTGGCGACCCCAGCAGCACGCATCTTCTAACAAGGGAATGGTCAGAAGTCGAAGTGGCCAATCCATACAACCTGCATACCGTTCGATGCAGCATAAAATGCTGATTTCAAATCTGTCTTCCATATCTGCAGAGCGCCTTTGTAGGCGAAGTTATGAGCAGCTTTACTGCGGAAAAACCGTATACGAAAATTGCGAAATTAGGCACATTATTGCTCTTTCAGCTCACCTCTAGGTGCGAGTCATGTGAAGTGACCTAGTTGTATGTTTTGGTCCAACATCGAGCCGAGAATGGCTTTGTACGGCCAAGTTTGCACTTTACAGGCACAATTTCTTAGCAAAATAATGACCTTCAACGGCTTATAATTTCGTCCACAAAAGCGCTCTGCAGATAAGGAAGACAGATTTAGAGTCAGCGTTCCATGGTGCATCTAATGGTATGCAGCTTGTATGGATTGACCACTTCGACTTCTGACCATTCCCTTGTAAGCATAGCAGGATTTCAGAAGACAGTCATTTTTGTCGGCAAGGAGCGGCGTAGGCTGACAGGCCCTCTAAGCAGCGATTGGGGGGGGGGGGGGGGGAATTGGTTGATTCTTGCACCAGCCAATCGTCTCGGGGACTGGCGAACACGCTCATTTAGCACTTTTCACGCTCTCCTCCCACTCTCAAAAAACGAAGTTTTGAAAACTTTACGAGTTAGAATCAATTTTGTATTCTAGCATTCAGAAGACTCAAAAATAACAAACTCAGAGCCGTCGTAAATGGCTGTAATTTATGAAGGACAAGTGAATGATCTATTAGCTATTTCAGATGAATATGGAAATCATGTTTGACGATCATGACGTACGGCTTCTTGCACGTGAAAACGTGATTTTCATGCGATTTGAAAAAAAAAATATTTTTAGCGTGGTAGGCGAAAAACTCAGCTGACTACTCTCTAAATTGCATCATAGACGTCGTAAAAACTGAACTTTTAATTTTACACGTGTGGCATTGATATGATTCTTGCAAAGTGCAACTTCTTATCAACGTTCATTGGCAAAACAAGCGAATTATGATGAAACGTCTGCTACTAGAAGGACAGAATCATGAAACAATATTGTAAAGTCACGGAGGTGGCATAAGATTTAAGATTGCTTTTACGCTGCGATTCTATTGACAAGCAAAACCAAAAAAATAGAAAATTTTTCTTTGTATGTATCCTCAACAAGATGGGAGAAACCAAACATTTATGTAGATCATAACAGAATTTGCAAAATCTATACGATGGGGATTTGACATCCGTAAATCTGAGATTTTTCTGAGGAAAGTGCAATAAGAAATTAAATCACTTCAAACGCGAAAAGATTTTGTAAGCTTAGAGAAGGGGGGAGGGGGCTGATTGGTCCCAATGGTTAGAACGGCGCATATTTCGGTACGCCGGTTGTCTGTCCCATGGAAAAGCACTGAAGGAAGTTTTTTTACCAAGTTATTGTTTATGAGTTTTATTACTTAGGTTACTGGTTTTTCCAGATGTTTTGCAAGTCACTTGCAGCCATCGGTCAAGTTCAAACAGAAAATCTTTTAGTTAAGAATGCGGAACCTTTCACCGTAGACTGTTGTTCAGTTCAAAAATGGGAATATCAAGAAAAACTTCTATTCTGTTATCTCTCACTGAACATCGCGTAGTTGGTTTATGTGTAGGGTCCCGGACAGACTTCACGCGATTCGATCGTCGCGATCTATTCGCCGAAATTTCCATTTATTTTCATTTTACATTCAAAAATTCCGGGCTGGTGAAATATCACAGCCGAAATGCAAGTTGATCGGCACGGAATGATGTTGTAACAGTTGTCTTGTCGCGATTCAGTCGCGACGATCAAATCGCGTGAAGTCTGCCCGGGGCCTAAGGGAAGCAAGCGGCATGCAGATAAGGTGAAATTGTGCATAAAAGGATTATTCTCAAGAAAAAAGTATTGAGTTAATGCATAATTCTTTCAAAATTTTTGAAATTCGTCACTACAACCAGTTTCAATAAAATCTTCAGGTTTGGAACTTAATAGAGAGAGAGAGAATCTCGCGGTCAGGGTGTTTGAGTCAAAATCCCGCTGGAGCATATGGCAACAATATAAAGTGATTTATAGAAGTGTCCATAAAGTAATTTTTTTAATTTTCGATCATTAAAATTGCTGAAACGTCCACTAAAAATTTATTTCTAATCTTAGCGTTATGACATACTCTTTTCAACAAAGAGAAGCTGGTAGTATTGGATGTTTTTGCGTAAAGTTAGAATTTCGATTTTTTTGAATTGAATTATTTATTTACATATTGATTTTCTGGAATGTATGATAGAGTTACACACTTATGGCATACATGACAATAAATAAGTTTGGTAAATTGATTAGTCCATTTAAGCATTTTTAAAACAATTTTTTCTATTTTCGGTGAAAGAATCGTGCATCAACCTTACACCTTTTTTCGAAAGCAGGCGATAAAATGATATGCAAGTTTATTGGGTTCAGTAAGAAGTAAGCATTGTTGTAAAATGAAATGTGAAAACTATAAAGTGACTGCGGATTTTGAGCACATATAATATGAGGACAAGCACTACATGAACGAAAAATATCTTTGATAAAAACCCTGCAGTATTAGATTTCGTTAATTGTGTGGTAAGAAAAAGATGTGCTTTTTAGTAGTGCACAGTGTGGGGAAAAATTCTAAAAACAAATTGAGAAGCAATGGCCCCTAGAAAGGGCAAGCGGGAAAGAAAGTAGACAGTAGTCAATTTATAAAGATTGTAGGCATGGGCAGTGTTGTTGACGCACGTTCTTATCACTGACAGGGTGATTGAAAACTTTGCGTGCAGCGGACTAATCTCGATAATTCTCGATAATTTTCCCTGTGCTTGTGATAAAAACAAATCAACGGTCAGTTGTCATTTTGAACTCGACATTTCGAAACAGAGAACATGCGTTCAGTGTGGCTTTTGGCCGTTCAAAAAGTAAAAGTTAAATAAATTTGAGGAAGATTTTAGTTGTTTATAAACTATATATAAAGTATAATTTGAGGAAGATTTTAGTTGTTTATAAACTATATCGGCATTTAAACACCATGTGAATTATGTTTCATAGGCTTTCTGGTTGCTCTTGTAAGAAAAATAAAAATCACAAATGCATATAGGTGCAGCGGCTTCTTGCAAAAAATTTAAAGAGGTCAAACTTTTCTGTTTTTTAGAGATTGCTACGTAATTAGCCCTTCAATTATTATTGATATTATACGTCATCTCTATTGTTACTATTTGAAATTTCATTGTCATAATCATTACATACAGATCACGCTTTCGATTAGTATATTAGTTGAACAATTGATACGATTTGCTATTTCTGCTTCATAGAAGATCTTGCCTACGCAATTATGGAATTTTATGACAAGAAATTGAAGGACATAATACAAAGGTAGTTCCAAAGAGAATACAAAAAAGCACTATGTCAGGATATGTGACAAAGTGCCGGAAATGAAATGTCCAGAATATTGATAATGTCATATTGCGGTACTACCTTTCCATCTAAATAAAAAAAAATTCTAGCTGAAGAAAAATGGCAAGAGCTTCTCATCGGATCAGTAGTACTCTTAGCAAGCGTAGATCATATATCAAGCAAGAACGTGTACGTAATTCCTACTACTAGAAGGACCGCTAGAAAAATCATCATATACCTTCAATTTGGAGTGTGGGTTTGGAGAATGAAGATTATTTTCAGCTTCACGATCAAGATTTGCGCCAGGACTACCTGTAACTCGGCCATGTGAATAATCAGACTGAATGAAGGAACATGGTTTGACTCAATTGTTGCTATTCATAGGCAAGGTCAAGTGTAGCTCGAACCAGTAGTGTGAGGTCGTGTTTGGTAACAGCAGCGGCGAAGCAGGAGAGGAAGGGGAAAGGAGTGGGAGGGGGTGGAGGGGGGAGGGGGGGGGGAGGGGAAGAAAACAGCAATTTGATATGTATAACGTTTATTTTGAACACTTTTTTCACCTGATAGAAGAATTTTCTGTTGAGATGGTTTGATGCCAGTTCTTTATGCTATGACATTACAG